TTAATTAGGACACGTGTAATTTTATGATTGGTCTTAAATATAATTTAAAATTGTGACATGGCATTTAGTGATTAGTTGAAATTTCTCCGTCAACAGGTGCTCTAAATTTCCATCCTTTCACTCAATGTTTACAGCATATAAATTTATCATCAATCTATTTTACTCAATATTATATTATATAAGTTTATCATCAATCTATTTTAACAATTATCAATCGTGACTTGCAAGAAATTAAATTTAAAACATATAAAAATATTAGAGACTATTAAATTATTTATTTAGGCTTGAAATTTAAAATCTAAATTTAAAAGTAAATATAAATGACCAAAACGAATAGATTGGATAATAAACTTATATCTCAGATAGATTGTGAGTTATTGGAGGTTATATCAAAAAAGAAAAAAAAAAGGTAAATATAAATGACATAGATACGGCAATAATAAAGAAACTTAGTTGGATTCTGAGGTTCCGTGAAGTGGTCCCTGTCCAAAAAGGAGCTGCCACTGCCACTAATGCTATGCCAGCAATGGCTGACCCAAAAAAGATGCTTCACTATCCAAAATCTTTCCTCTAGTTTTTTCACTTTTCCCTCTCTCTCTCTGCCAAAAACTGGAGGATTCTCCACTTCGGGCTCGCTCTTTTCTTCCGGGTCGACCCGGCTGCGAATCCGGACCCTAATATCAGCACAGCAGCATTGTGAAGGGGATTTCGTTTTTGAAGCTCATTCTTGTCTCTACTTCACTTTTTTTGAGCTGGGTTTTCCCTTTCCCCATCTGGGGTTCTCTGATTTTAGGGCAATCTGAAATTAGCGTCTCTGTTTTGGGCTAAAAAGTTCCTTTATCAACCATTTTTCCGTTCCCCCTTTCTGATCCCAACTGGGTTTCACTTCCGCTTTCGCTTTCCCCTCTAAAAGAGCCTTTTCTTCTCACTCTTCTTCTTCTGGGGCAGCTGAAAATGTTGAAGAACAGTGGTAAAATGGGTTGGTTCTTCAAAGCTTTCGTGGGTTTGGTTTCGTTTTTTTCACTGGTGTGTTCTGTGGCGGCCATCGGAGCCAACTGGGGAACTCAGGCGACGCATCCGCTGCCGCCGGAGACGGTGGTCGGAATGCTGAGGGACAACCAGATTCAGAAAGTGAAGCTCTTTGATGCTGATTATGGAACTCTCAGAGCTCTGGGTAAGACTGGGATTGAGGTCATGGTTGGGATTCCAAATGATATGCTCTATTCTCTTGCAAGTAGTGTGAAAGCAGCTGAAAAATGGGTTTCTAAAAATGTCTCTGTTCATATTTCCACCAATAATGTTAACATCAGGTGAGTTTTTTTTTTTTTCCTTAGTTGTTTCCTTCATGGCTCTGCTTGTTTTTGTTTTGTTTTGTGTGTTTTTGGCAAATTGGGTGACTTTTTCCCCCTTTTTCCAATAGTGTTGCTTTTTATGTCTTAATCAGTCGTGTAATTGTTAAGAAGTTAATGTTTTGATTTGTTTCCTTCTTTCTCTTTTGGTTAATTAATTGTTGAAAAGTTGGATGTCACATCTTAATGATTGAGAAGTGGGAAAGTTCTGTGATTAGTGCTTGTTTGCTATGGTGGCTTGTTCTTCAATCTTGTGAAGATTTTTCATCTTTTTGAAGGATCGAGTCTTGGATTTTCAGGGGAAACAAGTTTTGTATTGATTAGGGCAAATCCGAACTACAACGGTTGTTTATTGTTCTTGTTCTAATATAGAGAGTAGGTTGCCTTTGCCGTGTTTTTTGAAGAAATGATGTGGCGGGCAAAGGGTAGAACAAAGCGGACAGTTGGATAAAATAAAGTGGCACGTTTAAATGCATCCTCTTTTTAAAACAGCATATCAAGTCACATTTTAAAATTCAAAGACGTAATTGAAACTGTTTAGAGATTAGGGACTTGATAAGCCCCTCGTCAAAGTTCAAGGACTAAATTTGTAATTTTAACACGTTAGGCAAGACTTGCTTGCTTTGAAGAACTAGATTATGTTTTGTTTTTCCTAAAAATGGTCTCCTTCATATTATTTATTCATTTCTTTGTTTATCTTTGCAAGTTAGCACTGATAATGAATTTTTTTTGTTCAAAACCAAAGGTTTAGTAGTCAAATATTCATGATATGTATTAAAAAATACACACACACACTTCTTTTACATTATCTGAAATCATGTTTCACTAGAACCAGTTCTCTTTGCTTCTTTTTTGTGGTAACATTCTAGGACAGAGTTTTCAAAACTATAAGTCTTAGAGTTGAGATTTTGATCATATCATAGTTGGCATGAACAAATGAGATTATCAAGTCCCTCGCCTCCATTTTCCCTCCTAGTTGTAGCTTTCTTTGAGTTTTGACTGCTTTTTTTGATATATGGGAACTATACACCTGTCGAGCTTATTCAAACGACAAACTCGAACACCTTGGCTGAAGTCGTCATAGTTTTTTAGGAATCTTGATCGGCTGCCATTGAAACTTCATCCTCCAGTGGGTACGAAACTGGGTCGAAATGGGGTCTCAATTATCTTTTTGCCATAACATCCTTCGTTTCGACATAAGTTAGTACAAGATCACACTATAATAGGGCCATGATCAGTACACAGCAATCTCCTCTGCTTTTGCACACTTTAACAGGGTTTAGCCTTGTGAAGGGATTGATTCTATACACTTTCAGTTAAAATTAAGTGAAGGGGCTCTCTCCCAATGAATTTTACTCACTTCTTTCTTGCAATCTATCTTCTCTGATGGGGCTAACAGAGGATCATAGTTTGGAGCTACCATTTTCACTAGAGTTGGAGGGATCCGGTTTATCGGTGGATGCTCACAACCTTCGGAACTACTTTCTCGTTTTTCACCATCTGAAACACTTTCTATCGGTGCTTATTATTTGTAAGATTTTGAATCAAGAAGCAGAACTAAGATGACTGTTCTTTGAACCATGTATGAATTTTAAGCTTTGTGGAAGCATGGGAATAATGTGGAATTTTCTTAAACAAATTCAGATCACATCATTTAGTTACACGAGGATGAGGAGATGAATGGTTTGTGGTTTGAAATTGTACTGAATACTATATGATTATACAAGACCGAATAACGGACTTGCTTTAACAATTGTACTTGTTTGATGGTCGATATTCATATGTAATGTTCGTGTAGTACAAAGCAGGAAAATACCCCTTTAAATGATCATGCATTCATTAATTTCTTTCAAGTCACCAAGTTGATTATGAATTTTCAGATATGTTGCTGTAGGGAATGAGCCTTTCTTGTCAACTTACAATGGAAGCTTCCTTAAAACAACCTTTCCTGCTCTGCAGAATGTTCAGTCTGCTCTGATAAAAGCCGGTCTCGCCAACCAAGTAAAGGTAACCGTTCCCCTGAATGCTGATGTCTACGCGAGCTCCACCACTTTTCCATCTGGTGGCGACTTCCGGACTGACATACATGATTTGATGATCAACATCGTCAAGTTCTTGAGCGACTCTGGTTCTCCGTTCACAGTGAACATTTACCCCTTCATCAGTCTCTATAGCGACCCCAACTTTCCTGTTGAATATGCTTTCTTTGATGGCAATGCATCTCCCATAGTCGATGGTGGGACATCATATTTCAACATGTTCGATGCAAATTATGACACCCTTGTGTGGGCGCTTCAGAAGAATGGCTTTGGAAACTTACCGATCATAGTCGGGGAGATCGGTTGGCCTACGGACGGGGATCGAAATGCCAACCCCATCTATGCTCAACGGTTCAACCAAGGCTTCATGTCACATATACTAGGTGGAAAAGGAACACCGATGAGGCCAGGTCCAATCGACACCTATTTATTCAGCCTAATCGACGAAGACGCGAAGAGCATTGATCCAGGGAACTTCGAACGCCATTGGGGCATATTCTACTACGATGGTCGACCAAAATACCAGCTCAACCTCGGAACTTCAAACAACGGGTCCTTAGTCGCAGCCAGAGGCGTGCGTTATCTAGAAAAAAAGTGGTGCGTGATGAAGCGATCAGCCCGCCTCGAGGATTCGCAAGTCGCACCGAGCGTAAGCTATGCGTGTTACCACGCCGATTGCACCAGCCTCGGGTACGGCACGTCGTGTTCAAGCGTAGATGCAAGGTTGAACATTTCATATGCATTCAACAGCTATTACCAGAGGAACAATCAGGGAGAGGATGACTGCAAGTTCTCAGGGTTGGCAGAAGTGACAAATAATGATCCAAGTTTTGGGAATTGCAGGTTTGATATAATGATAGAGCCATATTATGGAGCTGCAGAAGGAAGAGGGTGCTGTTTCAAAAAGCACTTGATGTTGCTTTCTGGGCTGCTTCTTGTGTTGACTTTTCTGTGAAGTCCTTTTGGAGTTTGTGTATTCTAATTTATTTGTTCTTGTTTTCAGATTTGTTTTCTAATCTGTAGAATTGTATCCTTGCTGGAGTTGGAATGCCGAAAGTGAAATTGTTAAGAGGCTAAGGCCATGTTTCCCCAATGAAAGAAAAACGTGGGACCCACTCTAAAAATAGGGGATCATTCTTCCAACATTATCCTCTAAAGTTTCAACAATCCCATTCATATTTTCGGATATTCATGGACCCCACATCATGTATTTTTCGCTAAGTTATACAAAATACCCTTGAATTTTGTCTGTTCTTTCAATAATGACCCTAAACTTTTAAAAAGTTGCATTAGTACTCCACATCTTTCAAAAAGTTTCAAAACTGTCCTTCTGTTAGCTGCTTAAACAGAATACCTATGTGGGTGTTAAAAGATCTTAACAACGATCTGTATTACGTGGAAAGGAGAGAGAATGTGGAAAATTTGAGCAAAATAGTGTAAAATATTTCTTAAAAAAAAAACTAAACAAAATATTATTAGTGCAACATAATATTTTTTAAAACTTGTTAAAAAAAAAAGGTGAAATGCTTATTTATTAATTCTAAATCTTTTTTATGATTCTTTTCATATTTTGTCCATACATATCTATCGATATTTTCATTGTCATAAAATTAAGTTATCGACATTTTCATCAAGATCGAGAATTAAAACTTTGAATACAACAATTGGTCACTATAGTTTAAAATTGGTAATAATTTACATCCCATTTGATTACTTTTTGTTTATTTTATTTTTATTTTTTGTTTTTAAAAACTATGTTTTATTTTTCCCAATTTCTTTAGTAATATGCGTTTCACGGTGTTGAAAAATACATTTGAATTATTAGCCAAATTTCAAAGTAATAACAAGTTTATAAAAAAAAATTTAATAGTTTTTAAAAAGGTTGATAACAAAACCAACAAAACAGATATGAGTGGAAGTAGTATTTTGAGGTTAGTTTTTAAAAACTAAAAACTAAAAAAGAAATGGTTATCAAACCAAGGCTTTAATCACTGAATTTTAATATATAATGATTTACTCCTAGTTACAAAATTTGTAACGATTCATTGCACACCACAAAAATTTCCATTTGTTAAGAATCCTACATTGAAAAAAAATAAGACACCTAACAAAGGTTTATAATAGACATTGGAGTACTTCTCTCATAGTCAATTGTTTTTTAGATGGATTCTGTGAATATTGATATGGTATCAGAGATCAAAAGTTCAAACGAGTATTCGGTCCAAAAATGAAATCTAACCAAGATTGGTGAATACATTGAAAAGATAAGGGACTAACTACATATTTCACTACCAATTAAGCTTTGAGATGAAACCCATGAATATTGATACCATTAAAGTATAATAGAGTTTCTTATGTTCTGTACATCAATAAATCGCTTAAATGACAAATGCATTTTTAAACTACAAATATAAATTAAAATTGTTCCATACTAAGTTGATGATATTTTCTACGATAATGACTAAATTTATTATGGATGAGAAAATCCTAATTTTCTACGATTCAGATTCCCTTAAATGGAAGATATCTTGATGGCTTTATGATTCAGATATCAGATATACTGATTGCCTCGAGATTCTCCCCAGATTCAGATAACCAGATTTTCTAAATGTATTAGGATTCGAATTCCACAATCCCTAGAGCGATTAGGATTCAACCCCTATAAATAGGGAAGTAAGCCAAACCCTAAAGTATGCTCACAACACTCTACACTTTATGCTCAACTACTCCGATTCTGACTTAAGCATCGGAGCCTGTGTGGCGAGAGCCACACCGGTCTTTAGTGCCGTTCTGTTTTGCAGATCTTGTTGATCCCTTTTATTCTTGAAGATTGGTGCTAACTTGGCGGAATCCCAGGAGGCCAAATTAATGCATCAACAATTGGCGTCGTCTGTGGGGACGACTAGAGATTGCAGATTTGTCAACATAAGTTCGGGAAGAAGTCCACAACATTCCGATGAAGAGTGCCGCCACACGAGGAAAGTTGATAGGGGCACACCTACGCTCGAGGCAGTCGAATGAGAGATTGACCGACCAGTTCTCGGAGATATCGACCGACCAGTCCATGGACCGACGGATACCGACCAACCAGATGATGGACAGGAGAATACTAGTCGACCAGTTCTCGGACAGAAAGGCAAATCGGTCGAAGGTCCGAATCAACAGGGTGACAAGATGGCCGCCTTAGAAGAGAAGGTATAGGGAATGCACCGAAGTATGTCACTGCTTCTGCAGAAACTCGAGCAACATGAGGCGGAACAACCAGTGCTTATTCGCGATCCACGAAAGGGTAAAGCTTCGATGATTGAAGGAGTTGAGGAGACAACCAGCCATGCACGGAGCAAGCTGAAGATAGGAGGAAACGACAAACCTCGAATCGACACCCTCTAAGAACCTTCAAGTCGGGGCATGGGTAAGTAAATCAACAGCTGATCAAGGAACTCGAACAGGAACAGACCTAGAAGCAGGCTGATAAGCTAAAAGCCAATCAGTGAAACCAGGGAAAAGAATCCCAAGGTGCTGAAGAAGGCATGCGTACAGGCCCAGCAAGGTTAAAATAGAAAACAGGCAGACCTAACCAATCAATGAAACCCACGGGTAGAAAACCATATGGCAAAAGCCAAAATAGGTTAAAAACCCGAGGGTGTTGATTTAACTTGGGGTAAAAAACCGGCAGAATCCAAATATGTTAGAAACCTAAGGGTGTTGACTAAACTCAGGATATAAAAGCCATTGGCAAAAGCCAAGTGGGTTAGAAACCCGAGAGTAAACCCTGAGCTATAAAACATGGGCAAAAGCCAAATAGGTTAGAAACTCAAAGGAAGTACCACTGGCCCTGTTAAAAGTTAGATCCCAAAGCCAAAATCTAACGGTTAAAACTAACCGTATAGCACTGCCTAAGAGACTTGATTGCAGCCAACTACAGCAAAAGAGAATGGAGGCTATGACAGCCAGCCCATAAAACGACAACCGACTACAACAAAAGGGTATCGACTGGACTCAGGGTATAAAATCATCGGCAAAAGCCAAGTAAGTTAGAAACCCAAGAGTAAACCAAGAGACTTGATTACAACCAACTACGATGATAAAAGGGTATAGGGGCTATAACAGTCAGCCCACAAAAAGCGACAATTGACAACGACAAGTGCTCTCAGTATTAAGAGACTTGATGAAAACCAACAGCGACAAAATACTCTCAAAGTAGTAGAAGTCGCTTTGTTATGGATGGGAAAATCCTAATTTTCTACAATTCAGATTCCATTTATCTAAGGAATTTAAATGGAAGATATCTTGATGACCTTATGATTCAGAGATATCAAATATACTGATTGCTTCAAGATTCTCCCCAGATTCAGATAACTAGATTTTCTAAATGTATCAGGATTCGAATTCCACAATCCGTGGAGGGATCAGGATTCAACTCGGGAAGGAAGCCAAACCCTAAAGTATGCTCACAACACTCTACACTTTATGCCCAACTACTCCGATTCTAACTTAAGCATCGGAGCCTGTGTGGCAAGAGCCACATTGGTCTTTAGTGCTATTGTGTTTTGCAAGTCTTGTTGATCCCTTTTATTCTTGAGGATTGGTGCGAACTTGGCAGAATCTTAGGAGGCCAAATTTATGCATCAATAAAATTGTTACAACATTTAAACTTCAAGAACTAAATCATTGCCTACTAAAATCTAGGAACTAAATTATTACAGACTTTAAACTATATAGATTAAATAATTCCAGAAAGTATAGAAACTAAATTATTACTTTTCCACAAATACAACGATCATATGTGTGTTTTTAACCTATTGTTTAATATGTCAATAATTTGATTCTAATTAATTATTTGTTGATGTCAAATATGTTAAATTATAAGTCTGTTCCTGGTATACTTTTAGCATAATGTTTAGTTCATAGACTTCAAGAAATTTTAATATTATGTCTTTGAATTTTAAATAATATCTTTATTTAGTTTAAAATGTGTACTTCGAGTTTACACTGTTGTGGTGCTTAATCACATACACGCTGCAACTTAAATTAGCACTTAGAGGATTGCATACCTTTGAAAAGGTGGTGCTCCAACATTTATAAAGAAGGCATTGACCGTTTTCCAAGTTGGAGCCTAAGTTGAGCTCCACCTTGTGCACGTGGCGTCATCATTCAGCAGATTTTCTGCTGGAAAATATTTCCAAGTTAGAGCCGAGTTGAGCTTTATTTTGTGCACGTTTGGTCACTCCGTTCCCCATCCTTGACGTGTATCAATATGTATGGGGATGTTTTGGTCACTCCTTCACAAGTTTACTTTCTATTTTACCCTTAATAATACTGTATATTAACATTATTAATTATTAATTAAATATTGACATGACATTCCCACGGAATGATTGAGTCTTGTATAACGTACCACAAATATATAAGGGTGACACATTTTGGTCGAACACATTATTATATAATTGTGATTCATAATCTAATGTGATCAATAATTAAGCACATTGACACATTTAACCTAGATGCTCAATTTTCCTATTGTTTTCTAAAAATATATATATATATATATATATATATATATAGTCAAATATTTTGAAAAAGAAAAATCAGTGATATAATTAAAATAGGTGGAGTTTATTTATTTATTTAATTTTTTTATGTCAGAAAAATAGGTAGAGTTATTGAGACAGTCAAATTTTTAATGAGCATATTTTGAATTTTCTGCATTAACCAATTTCTTTATTCTTTTTTTTTTCTCTGAAGAAGCAATTTCTTTATTCGTTGACATTTTCTACACTCGTCTTTTCAAAACGGACAGCAAACATGTGGGTATGTCCAAATTCATTAACTATTAAATCCCAAGCATTCCTAATTTAGTTAACAAATTATACTTTAATATCACATCATAATTTCATTAATACATTTCTCAGTTGAGGAACCATCTACCGAATTGAGGTCTTATCCACTAAATTATCATCGAACTCGTTCATTTAGAGAAATCAAAATTAAGTAATAGAGAAAGTGATACAAACCTCATGCATAAAATTGTATTCAATCTAATAATTAATTATAAATCCCAACTTGCGATGACATCGATTCTTTAAAAGTTGTTTCATTGCTGTAGCATGAAGGAACCGACCTCGCATAGATCTACTGGGTCGTGGAAGAAATTCAGACCCTCAAAGAATGCAATAAAGCGATCTAGATCAAAAAGATTATTGTAAGAGAAATCAACAAAATCGTTCATGTAATCTCAAGGAAAGCAACATATATATATAAAAGTCTGGGGACTACAGCTTTTGCATATTTAATTGGCTTTGTATTTTGGTTAAAAACGATTTCACTGGTCTTCAATACAATACAAAATTTTGCTAAAAAAAAAATTGTAAGTCTGAACATAGCTCGATGAATAAGATACTTATTACTATCTTAAAAGGAATACTTGGATCTCTTGAATTAAAAAGAATAAATATTTCAAAATGAAAAGCTTTTGAAAAAATACTAATAATTAATAATCGAACTTAATAAAATTAACCGATAAAAGATTAGAAATTTAATGACCCACGTGATTAAAATCTCATAAGTTGCTACCAAAATGGAAAATACATGCATAGAGAGATTGACCAAAATGGATATATTTGATGTTTTTTTTTGAAGGAATATTTGATGTTGAAATGATTGTTATTTAATGATATTGATTGACCATTGGGTCCACAAATAATAAATTTTTTGACTTCTTTAGACCTCTTTATTATTATTATTATTATTATTATTATTTTTTTTTATAATTTGAAATAATAATGTTGTTGTTCGTTGTTCGTTGTTCCAGTTCAAATATTCCATTTGTCAGAGAAGAATTAATTTTGACTCTTAAGCCTTTCGTTTTCGTTTTCCCCAAAATTGAATCCGCCATTTTTGGAGAGATGGTGAGATGAAAGGTCAAATGGCGTCCAATGGAGGAAATCTCAGAGCCGAAGAATTCTTTGTGTGCCACACAAACACAAATCCAAGAAATTTTCGCTTAACAGAGCCACAGATTAGAGAGAGGAAAACAAGAACAACAGAAATTGAGCGTTTGTTGTTCTTTCTCTACGAATTCTTGCCATTAAACTTCTATTTTGCCGTTGGAATCGCGGATCTCTCTCTCTCTCTTTCTCTTTCTTTTGGTTTTGTATTTATTTATTGTTGCCGTTTGATTAATCGCTGTGAATACCTTTCCCTTTTTTTTCATCTGCCGAACTTTATAGGGGAAAGGTAGTGCGATTTCCGCAGGAGATTCGGAT